ACATCAATGCGCAGCATCAACACACTTTAACAGACTTTTTTCAACTTTTGCTTTATTCACACTCACGTTCTAACACACAACATTCATATTTCATTTCCAAGACGAAAATGAAAATGTTGCCTCATAAACTTCTATAAGAATTCTGAGGTTTCATCTAACAAAAATTTCAAAAAACCTTGCGTACCTATGATCTTGCTAAATTCGACACTATACCTTTTATGGATGGGTAGCTTCATATTCACCATGGCAAATTCTCAAAAACGGGAGACGGAGACGGAAAAGTTGCCGCATATCTGTGATTTGGACAAAGAATTGCGTGCAGGATTCACATCCAGAGGGCTAGTTTTTAATGATATGTAGAACCAGAAACTTATTATTTTGCTGAAAATGAATGCAACTTGTTTGACAAATGTCAGCTGCTGTACGGAATGTGATAACTTTCTCTAGGAAAGAGAACCACGCCCAATTTCTTTCAGTGATTCTATTTCCTCGTTCAAGAATAGGGGTCAGGGAATAAATTTCTGAGCGCAGCAGAATAGAATTCTCCCCTGAGGAATCCTCTTGGGGAATAATCTCGAATTTCAATTGCTACTGACGTTTATCCAACAGGTTTGTGAACGTATCCATGTTTGCCAAAATAATATGTTAATATTTACTACGTCTTTAGAGACTTCCACACGTCTTCCCCCAAGAATTGAATAACATTTCGGATTGGATCTTTGAAAATGGAGATCCTCCAACCAGTCTGTTGAATATACTTTTGAGTTGAAAGTGCAAAAAAAATAAATAGTCGTTATACATAAACATAGATTTAGTGAAACCAGGCCACATAGTGTCACCTCGCCCACAGTGCATTGTCACCTGAAAAGAAGCATTATAGGCGCGTATCGTAATTACGATCTGATCCAAGAAGAAAAGCGCCACATTTTGATTAGAGACATGCATTCATATCGGCTAGCACTATAAGCGTAGGCACGACTCGATGGAATGTTACTTTACATAAACATTAGCAGGGTGCGACATCCGAGGAGGGATTTTGGGAGTGGTGGATTTAGGAATGGATGATTGTAAGGAGAGAAAAATCTTTCATCAGACAATAGAGAGGATATTGGTAGTCTAATCGTGTATTCAGATAGGACCTAAAGCTTCTCCTCAATTTTAGGCCGTAAGTTGTGATGCTGTCCGGTCACCTCTTCTAACATTCCTACAATTGTTTTACTTCATGAAATGAAATAATATAGCAAAACATCGGTAATACGGACGTCACTGTGTCATTAGATTTGGAGGCGAATGTTTTAAAACCTAAAAGTCATATTTATGTTCTGTTTCTGGTGAAAGTGGACTAATACGCTAAATCATTCATGTGAATGATATAAGGATTATCCGAGGAACATAGTGGTTGAACTCATCAAAAGCTTCGCGAAACCGTGTACCAATATAATTTATGGACCAAACTGCACGCATATCTATAAAATGAACGAAACGCAAGTGCCAACTTAAATTGAAGTGACTTAGAAATTATTATTGTCATTGTATTTAAAAGTGGTCACCGTGGTGGCGATACGTAAACAGGAATTTAAACATATACATATGTAATTTTACTCGGACAGACACTGGAGCTCTATGCACGTGAAAATCACAGGATAAGTTTCAGGCGTTACATAGTACGATTAGCCACATCAGATGCACCACTATGTAACAAATTAAACAACTTCCAAAAACATAATATATGATGCTTCATCAGACATGTTTCTACGTATATGGTAAGCTTTACTACACAAACTATTTTTGTGGACAGGAGATATCCCCCCCCCAAAAAAAACATTTTTGACTAAACGATTATGTCAGTCAAGTACCTACTTATGGTTCTTCTCACCCTCAACGATAATATACAAAATGCATTCGCTTCGATGATAAAATGCAGAAGTGTTAAGCTCTTAAGGCAGTTCATTTATTTTTACTTTAAAAGTTACGTGTCTTGATACGAGCATGCTAAGAAAAATGTTAAGTGTTGTTTATTGTAAGTAAACCTCATGGTACTTATCAGTCAAGCCGTTCTGTTACTTTTTATTCATCTGTGTTCATTTGTATTTTGCTAGAGAATAGGATTTAAATGAAGGCATTTATATGTCAGCTGCGCAACGACAGCCTCTCCTGGAAGATATCGGACTGAAATATTTATGCTTGATAAGTGCAATATAAAAATAAATGAATATTAATGAAATACAGCAATTTAGTCGATTTAGGTTAGGGAAAATTTTGCTTTTAATGTGACAAACGATGGCAGGGTAATATTAACACCTTGCCAGGCCTCAGTTGACCCCACATGACGCAGATTTTAGCATAAAGGCCTGTATTCCACTATCAGTTTGATGATGTTTCTGCTTTTATCAATTGTGAGCACGACGATCGATTCAGGTTCCCCCACTATCCAATTCGCTCCCAACAAGCAGTCACAGCATAGCCATTTACTATTTTCAATTTTGACATATTGGACATTCACTGTTTTGAATTTCGAAATTTTGACCCAGTAGTCTTGCTTCGCTATTTTCTCAAGACATTTCAAGAATGACGCTTGGTAGCGTCTCATGAGCTAAGAAAGAAGCCGAGTCTGAAACGTCTGGCATTTTTCATATAGCCTTGCACGAACTGACGGTCCCCATAGGCAGTCAAGTAAGCACCGAAGTGGGAGGGACAGACTTTGTCCAGGAGAATGCTGAGGGGGCCTTTAGGCGGAAGTACTAGCACTGAACAGGAAAGAGGCGGAGGGGGCTGATGAAAATTGAAAAGATACTTAGCTCTTTTTACTACCCAAGCCTGATGGCGGGGAAGTATTGTAGATAATCTTGAAAATTTTCTAAAATGACTTATTATGAATTTTTGATGTTACATGACACGTACAACACGAAAAACCATGTCACTCATGTCCGCCAGTCTGTCTGTATGTTGGTTTGTCCGCTAATTGGCCAATAACTGGAGAAGCACCAATTTAGGAATCGTGTCGCGAGTTCGATTTTTTTAATAACGTTTTACAGGCGATTTGATACACTTTATTTACTTAAAGTACAAGTATCGTTTCAGGCAACAATGGTCTTGTTACCAAGCCTAAGACTACGTGAGCTTACAAGCGATTGACTAATAGATGTAACGTAAAGTAATAGCTGAGGTAAAGTGATGCCTAAAGGGCACAAACAAGAATTTATAATATGGTTTTGTTTATAAAGATAAGATATAAGTACACCAGTTAGGAAGATATACGAGGGTCTCTGGCTATATAACTTACCGCTCGGATTTCCACACGTTAAAAAGCTTGGGGCAGGGGGTTGTAGGAAGGTGGGGAGGGCCTATCGCAAATGTTTGATGTTAGTATATTTATACCCTCCCAATCTTGGTAATTCTACGCGCCTATTAGACATAATTCACACATCATAGATTTCTCCGTACATTATCTCTTAACACCGACCGCTGTTATTTAGCGACTTTTTCACAAATTGTATGGGCATATTTGACTGACTTGATCCATTTAATTTTTTTGTTATGCATGTTCATAGCTAACTATTTTCTCAGGCTGGGAAATGCGCGGGAAATGTAGAATCAGGCGGCCTAACAACGTATTTTATTCTGCGATTAGGTACATTTTCAACATATGAGGTAATATGAATACTTAATCCTGATTGGTCCATTCTGTAATATTGTCATCGCGGCTCGTTGTGTACTTTGCGTGAGAAACACAGTCAGTTAGATTTCGTGTTTGTATTTACCTATACGTTCACTGCAGAAACTGATAATCTGAACATGCCGTGCTTCCTGTGTTTAGCTAATAATAGAGGGTTTTATAATTCCACCTGGCATGGCATTGTGGCCTGTGGCGGCTTAATGATACACAAAGCCTTGACACACTGCTTCAATTTGCGAACTACATTGTTTCGAAGGACGTGCCTTCTGTTCGTTCGGTAAAAATAGCGGGGGACTTCTGGTGATATGAAATCTCTTAATAATATAGCGTTTGTCTGACCATGAACAGCTGTGTCGTGCTATTTAGCACTCCTGAGCATGGCCTAGCCCTGGATCAGGTATCTCAATGAACAAAAGCTGAACAACTATCATCTATCCAGAGTATGAGCTCTATCGAAAGTCAGCACAAAGTTCTATCTATGACCAGAATCGACCACTGCGAGAGTGAAAACAGCAAGTTGAATGTTGGAATTGCATCGCAGTTCGCGTTGTCAGCCAGGTCACGATTGCTTACTTGCCATTCTACGAACTAGTATTACAGCTTTAGTTCGTCCGACCGATTTAACTGATTTAAATCCGCTTTTTTCCAAAGTACAAATTTTTCCAACGCAAGGCCGAAATATCAGAATAAACGACATCATTTTCAAAGAATTCTATATCGGTCTCAGCAGGCTTTGAACAAAAACAACCAGTCGGAACACTTTTCTTGTTAATTCACGTCATCAGCAGTCTTACATTTTTACATAATTTATTAAACAAAAAAGCTAATTAAGGCTTCAATCTCATTTTCCTTGATGCTGTAATACATTCATTACACATGCCCAAGACACGATATAATTAATTTGCTGCCCAATACTTTCTAGAGTCGTCCTTGGTTTATAAACTGGATGCGATAACTAATTTAAGCTGATTGTTTAGAGTTTAGAATGACATGCAAGTTGCTTAACTTCTGTTAGTAACAACTTAACATTCATTTTCAATATAACGTATCCATCCATTTTACTTAATTTCAAAACATTCTGAAATTGAGATATGTTTTCTACTCACGTTCATTGAAAACTGCTTGCAAGGCCGCACAGTATAATACCAGAGAATATTTCTCATGTAGCTCTACCTCGGTTACTAGAACCCTTGCGTTTTCATTAACTATATAGACAACCATGCAATTTTGAGAGGACCGAGCTTGCACTTTTTAGAGGTGTTGCTTGAAGCTGACGATTTTTTGTAAATATGGTAGATGACATCGCTGATTTTTTTCTTTGCAGAACTGTAGCTTTACACACAGACTTATGCTTCATCTAGGGACCTCAAACCATACAAAACCGCTTTCCTGGTATCTTTTTTCGCCTTCTCCAGCCCTGATGCCGTACTTTGCGATCACTAGCAACCTTCAAGTTGGAGAGAACGAGTTCGTGTGTTTCATCCAGGCTCATTCTAGGCCTAGTGACGTAATTTTCACAACCATACTGGATTTCTGATTAGATATGGCGTAATTTTATAGACTCTTATGAGTATACACAAGGAAATAGCCGTAATTACATTCATGCAATGAATACTCTAGCAAAGTATTCCTATGTGTAAATGAGGGATGCGGCGGTATGCGATGGTGACCACCCAGTGTCCAGCAAACAAATTCAAAAGCTCGTTAAGGATACGCCTTACGAATTTATGAAAACACGCCACGGCATATACGCAGGAAGGGTTCGTTTTATATCCCCAAATCGAATGGAAGCAACTGAAACAAAACTTCAATCCGGTGGAATTGTGGTAATCTGCATACTTGAAATTTCATAGAAGGTATGCACGAGGTGAGCCATGCGCTTCGTCGAATTAAATAGGATCGACGGTGGTCATGTTTAGACTGTGGGTAGGTAACCGAAGGACTAGTGGTGGAAGACATTTTACGAACTGTGAATTAGTAACTAAATATTTCTAAATCACGAATCACGACTGTTACCAAATATAGTAAAAAGATTGAGGCGACCACAATCTCGGGAACTAGGCAACTAGGTACGACTAGCATCATGAAATCACGGCAGATGAAAAAAGCGCAAAAAAATAATTGTCGCTCATACTTCGTTTTTTGACATTTTAAAGATCCTGACTATTTTCGGAATTATTGCAGGGTTTGAAAATTGGATCGGAGGGGTAGGGAGATATTTCATACATCATATGTTTCCCCTTACATTTGCCCTTAAAACTTGAATGATAGTTATACAGGGTCAGTCAGAAAGAACGCATGTTTTTTAAAAGAGTAGCACAGTCAAAATAAGTATGGGAAACATATTTTATTATATCAAAATACTCAGAAATACATGTCATTTTTTTCCATATGGCGTCCTTGAGCCGAAATGAAGGAATCAAGCCTCTCCCGAAATGAGCCCATTGCGTCGCGTCGCCCAGCATCCGTGCAGGAATTTGGGTTACTTCTCTTCTTATTTCCTCCTTCAAATCGACGAGGGTTCGAGACTTGCTTTGGTATACTTTTGATTTCAGGTATCCCCATAAAAAAATCACGTTGACAGGTCCGGGGAGCGAGGGGGCCATTGAATGTCGCCATGACGTGAAATGAGACGGCCGAAGAAGTTCCATCGAAGTGCGAGATGTTTGAGATGTTGCCACGTCTTGTTGGAACCACACTGTTCTGAGACGGACACGTCGACGTCGAAGTTCCAGAAAAAAAGAGTTGTTGAGTATGTGGATGTAACGCTCTGAATTCACAGAAGTTGTTTCTCCATCATCCTCAAAGAAATAAGGGCCAATAATCATCGTTGGGCCTACTGCACACCAAACTGTAACTTTCGGGATATGCAGAGGGTGCTCATGCATCTGTTGGGAGTTCACTGGAGACCAATATTGACCATTTTGTTTATTCACGTATCCATGTAAATGAAAATATGCTTCATCACTCATAAACAACGTCATGTCATTGTTATCCAACGCAAACGGACGGAACGATTCGGGCATTGCAGCGTGTCAACTCCCACTGTGTCTACGTTTTCGGGGGTTCTAACAGTACGGTTTTTTCTTCATCACATTACCTGTTGTGTTGAATGCTTCCACCCATCTCAAAATGGTGTTACGGTCTGGTACTGTCCCACGACGTGGAACACGAAACTGAACGCGAAACTCACGTTGCGTTCGAACGACAGACTCGCCATTTCAAAAGTACCGACGTACAGTGAAAACACGATGCTCAACGTTCCAAACCATCTTGCCAACTGAAACGGCAGTTCTCCTACTATCCAGCTCGCCCTTCTCCACCGCCACGGGACCAGCCCACTCGATGTAGTACCCATTCGAAAAACATGCATATGCAACCCCATGCTACGTTGCCACGTTGCTGGGTCATTGGCACTATCAGCAGGGCGGAAGGCTAGATCGCAATTATAATATATAAAAATATTAGCAGGTGGCTGCAGTGCCATCAGATCAACTAACCTCAAGTAGTATACGTTAATCAATGCTCTAGCTAAGCAAATGATCTGACATCGATATAGTGAACTTTTTTTATAAAAACCTTGTAGTTCAAATACTGTATCTGTTAATAGTACGATAAACCTACATAATTATGTACTACATAAGAGAGGACCGATGTATCCTAAACGTCAGTAAACTTATATACCCAAATTCCATGCACTTAAAAAAATCGATTTTCATTGGGCGCACGTGACCACTTTTAATAGATAAAAACCTAACAGGATCAAACTGTTGCACTAAACCCTCAATGAAATAAAAACCTGCGCAATGCTACACCATTGTACGATACAGAAATGCTAAGCAAGGCAGTTTCAGCTATTTTCGCAGTATATATAGACCGGGAGTTATATTTTACGATGTAGTAAGTCTCTTGACTTCGCTAACCAGAGGAATGTTCAAGTCACTATGATAGGATCTCACTGTTGAGAACATACTAAGAGGCATTGACTACGCTCCTCAAACCTTTCTGTAATTTCGATGTTGGAATCGTTGGCTTAGTTGCACAGTTCATAACCGTACACTCCCATACATATAAAACTGCATCAATATCCTCTGCTCCACTACAAATCTGTTACTGATGTATCAAGAAGGCCAAAATAGCTGTATAACCCAGACAAAATACAGCAAAAATTGCTTCAAGTTTGCAAAATTCCCACAAAGCTGAAAATTGGTTCACCCCTAAATTCACCATTATGAATAATATATCAAAAATTCGCAATCCTTGGAGCGAGACCTTGTTTTATTTGGATTAAAATGTCAAAAATATCACGTTATGTCATATTTCTCTAAAAGGGAAAGAAATACTGCAAAAATACCTTATACAAAAATTGTAGAAAATACAAGTTGTCGAAGATCTTTTATTCCTTGTAACACCGTTTATGAGATTTAGTGATCTGTGGCCGCTGTCACGTTCCAAAACCTTTTCTTTTACTATTTTGATCACTTACCAGTAATTTGAATTTCTTGTTTTAGGGGTTGCGTGCGCAGGCGGTCCAGCGCTATTTTCTTTTTTTGGCTTTCCGCTGTGGTTTTGGTTGTGTGTGGACGTTGTTTCGTTAACTTCTAGATTTTGGGATAATAACTCCCCGAACACCAGTTTATGAAGTAGTACCCTTTTATTTTGTCCCTTACGTTTAGTTGTTTTGGTTTGGGTGCTACCCCGACCATTTTCTAATGGGATTTTAACCTTCAGCGGTAAGTTCTTTTTTGTATACCATTGCACCAGACCATTAATGCATGTCCTAAAGAAGTTTGTTCAATATCAGCTTTCTTTTAGTGGAAAGGCATTTTGTTGGAAGCCATCCCTTCTCGTTGACAAAAAACCCTGATGTGAACAGGTAAAACATCATTTTAATTGGATATTTTATAGATATTAATACATTGATTATTCCTGACTGAAATTCTTAGAGTGTTCTTGATTTTGATGACATTATTCGTATTCAAATATCGGGCAGTGCCTATATGTTACCTTTTTTGATCCTACTACAATACATTGATCATGTTTTTTATTTTTGAGCTGCCATAACTTATTTTAGAACAAGGGATAACTTTCTGAGGGTATATCACTTTAGTACATTTTTATCTTTTCTTACCCTTGCTCTACTTTTCTTTTTTGAATTTTTTTAATCTGTAGTTCTGTCTTAGACAGAAAATAGAGAGTAGATTTTAAGCAGTATTTCTCTCTCTAGGGTTTTTTATACCGTAAATTTTGGAAAACGTACGTCACTGCCCACTGCTGGACACGGGTTTTTGACCTTAACGTTTGTGAACTGAGAACATCTCAGCTGCGCCTAGAGCCGTAACTGGAAGAAGACCATTATCCAGATAAGCTTAGGTTTAGCTGTTAAGATATTTATAAAGCCTTGGTACCTGTACCATGGTGAACGTTTTGCAGGGTTAGTTATCACGGTCTAATAATAATTTTACTGTCAGGTGGTTTTGAATAATATCCTTTCTTTTAACTTGCACTCCAGTGGTGGAGCTTATGTGCTGCTTGTTTTGATAATCTACTGTGAGTTTTATCAATAGCTTATTTCATTTGGCTCTCTGTGTACAGGTAATTAGGTTTCGTCATTGCTGTTAGATTCTTTTTTTTGTGTGGTGTTCAAGCTAAACAAGTTCCGAATAACATCTAGGGGATTTGTGGCTTAATCCGTCTTGGGTCACTGACGCTCTTAACCTCCCCTAATCTCCGCTGTATTGAGCTAGGGCCTAAATTTGCACGCAACTTGGCAGCTGTTTTGCATTGACTGGCCCTTAGATTCCATTTATAGAGATATATTAATTCGTTAATTAATTAAAAAAGGAAAACAGGAATCACCCCTCCATATCCTCTTATTTAAGAAATAAGTCGTGACACCGCTCAAGTACTGTTCTGGTCTTATGAGCCATATATGTATTTTATGCACGCCTTCGACCGTTCGATATGAACATATATGTTAAAACATTCGACTCATCACCTTTCATTCAGGGTGTGTCAAAAAAAGTAGCAATGGTTCTTCTATAAATCCATACCTTGAGTAATGAAAGGATATGGATAATTGAACGCGAAATGCTGGGAAACTCAAAAAAGACGGTATTAGTGTTTATCCGTACCATTCAAATACGTCCTGGCCTGATTAAGGTTCGCCCAAAATAAACGAAAGTCTTATTTTCAGAAAAAAATCGTATATCAAAATTCCCCATCGATATTCACAAAAATGACAAGTTATATAGAAACAGTACCAGGTCTACAAACTTCATATATTTCGTTTTTATGATGACTAGCTCAAAAAATATGGTAAAATGTTTTAATTACACTTGATTGCCGTTGTATTTTCTAAAATTTTGTATTTTTTTGGTGTGACAAAAAGTGACATTTTTGACCAGTCAACCCAAATAAAACAAGCTTCCGCTCCCAGGATATTATGAGGAGTTTTGATATGTTATTCATAATGGCGTGTTCAAGGTCTGTACCAACATTCAGCTTTGTCGGTTTTTGCAAACCTAATTCTTATTTTGACTGGATTGTGCATGCGATTATTGGGTTTCATTACAATATTGTTACAAAGTATGCCCCATATGCATACGGATGGATACTTGTGGTCTCATTTGAAACGACACATACATACAAGCATATCATAGATGTATTCAAAATACTTTACCACTTTCGACGGCTAGTTTAAATTGCAAATACTCAATTTAACCAGAATTTGTAATCGTGTATGTAATAAATGCTTCCGTGGCATTACCCAGAATAATTAATTCACTGTTTAATGTTTCATGTAATTGATAATTATGACAAAATCGCTTTTATGCGGCTTTCGTATCTGATAAACTAGTAGTGTCGCATTCGAATTACAACGTTTTTACAGTTGTTTCAAAATACAGCCATGCCAAAATTAGTGAAACCAGTCGACTCTGTGTGATCTTTTCGGAGCAAGTTAACCCTTTTTACAGAAAAAGCTAAAAGACTGAAGTTCAATGAAAACCTTCCTGTGGTCAAATAAGTATGATGTGTTAGTTGTATTGTTGAATTATTTTCAAAATATCTTATTTGCCTGTTTCACATGAAATCAATGCATGAAAGTGCTTATGAAATATGCTGACAAATATGTAAAATGCTGCGATCAGAGGTCTCTCGATTATACCGCGTCTTTCACTGAAGCGAATCATGCTAAATCTACAAAAACCCTCATACCTTAGAATCTTCAACTTTAAACTCGTAAGAAAAATTTTCAGAAAAGTTTCAATTTATGCGTAAAGTTACACAAGTGAAGAAGTCTCCTATTTTCCATGTCCAGTCATTCGCACTCTTCTGTTGTGTATACGTATATTATGTATAACAAGGGCCCAAGTATAGATAAAAACCATCAATATGGATTTTCTGAGAGCGTCTGAGTAGCTCCGTTTCAAAAACAGTGATGAGTTAGTGAAACCATAATACTTGAGCTTTGAACAGAACAATTGAAGAATGCTAGAGAAACCTTGATCATACTCATGTAAGCATACACCATATTTTAGACACTTTTCAGCATTTGAGTCACCCTGTAAAAGTATCGCTTGACACTTGGAATGCTAAGAAAGTCACTGCTGGCATACACATTTCATAAACCACTTACGACCCTGCGTATTCGTGAAACCAAAGGATGCTGAGGCACAGGCCCTCTTAGTTCATTCTAATATTGTTCTAACAGTTGAAAGGTCGAAGTGTCTGTGTGTTGTGATTTTGTGAATAGTGTCCATATCAAGTTCAGGTCAAGGTTCGATCAATCAAACGGTGAGGGTTTTCACTGAGTATCTTTTATTGTTTTGCTGTACTGCATGTCATGTGTATTTTCTAACCGTGGTACCCTTATAATCATGATAATATATGTAATAAGTCAAAGCTAGTCATATGAGATATGTTTATCAACAGTTAAGATAAAGTTAAAGGTAACTTAGCGTCAAACATCTACAGAGGTGTGACGTCTCCATACCCTGGAGGCTTTTATGAGACCTACAGAGCCGGGTTGCCATCGGGGGACTTACTGCTCGGTTTCCTCTGTCAGGGGAAATGTCGGAGCGTATTGGGTATTGACACAACGGCCATTGGCCGGCGTGGTATCCTGGGTCTGTGTGACCGCCTAGGTTCTTCTCGAGGCAATCGCAGGAGTCTGAAAGTATCTCATGGCAAGATGTGTATAGGGATTGTTACTCAAAGTTGCCCGCTACTCGGTTATCTCTCAATCAGAGGTAATGTCGGAGCTTTTGGGTAATGACACGGCAACGTGATATCGTGATTTCTGGGCTGCTTTTTGTAACAATCAAGTACTTGGCATATCTGTCTAAGCACCGATTATAAAGGTATCCATATCAGGCGTGACTTCAATTCGGTAGGAAGCTACCGTTCCCCCGAGTATGGACACGGGCGTGACTTCCATGCGGTAGGAAGCTACCGTTCCACGTGCAAGGTATTATATTTCCATATCAGGCGTGACTTCCATGCGGTAGGAAGCTACCGTTCCCCTGATCATGAACACGGGCGTGACTTCAATGCGGTAGGAAGCTACCGTTCCCCCGTGCGAGGTATTATATTTCCATAACAGGCGTGACTTCCATGCGGTAGGAAGCTACCGTTCCCCTCGTTATGGACATGGTAATTGAGAAATATCATGGCCATTATTATATTGCTTTGTGATCAGTATTGAGACAGCTAATTAACATAATGAATAGACAGTAGAGTTGTGCATGTCATGAGTCGGTAGAATATGGAAGGTACTCAAAAGGTTTTTCTTAAAAATAGGGTTGGCCCCGACAATCCAGTTCTAGCGACCGTATCTCTCGCCAAGGAAGAACAACTCCCCTTTCGTTAACGTCACCAAGTAAGTGGCTTTAAAATTATCCTGACATTGAAACCCTTGTTAAGTTGTGTATGTACTACTCTCGTAATAAAAGTGAAAAGGTACAGGGTAGAACTGCGAACGCTTGTAAGGTGGAATTGTTGTTTTTACGCTTATCGTTGTATTTCTAATATCATCTCTTACACCCAATTAAAATATATGTGGTTACCGTAGCTAGTGACGTTTCAGTATTTCTTCCGGGTCTGAACCCAGATTGGCAATCGGGAAGTAGACCATGAATTGCAAAATATTCAAAAATCTGAATATAAAGATATTTTTCAAATATTTTTGAAACAGCTGGTAGAAGAGGTATAAGCCTAAGATCGTGAAATTCCAGCGGATTATTTTCGCGGCTGCTTCAGTATGGAAGAAAAAGCAAATATGAAGAGCAGAAGTTCACGACATATCAGCGTTAACCAGACCTTTAAATTGTGGTTTCACCTCGACCGCAAGTAGCGAAACGATGCGACGGCTATTTTTAAAATTCACTTTCTGGCGTCACATTGGTCGTAACGGGATATCCGACTAGTCTGGAGAGGCCAACAGGCGAGAGTGATCACGTGACATGTCTAAATATACCGCTGAAAAACAGAAACATGTCCAGTTTGTCGTAAAGTCGCGGCCCGTCGGCCAAATTGTCTCCAGAATTATTTCGATTGTTTTTTTTATCTGAAAGGCTTTACGCGATACGGGTTGGTCTATGTCAATGACAAAGGACACTCTGTGAATAAGTGCTGTGAAATAGTGAGTGTCTTGTTTTTTGGAGAAGTCATTTAGGAGTGACAGCTAAGAGAATTCAAAACTAATTCAGTATGTTGCTGAAAATATACTAAGTGACAAAAAAGACACCTACGTATGTTTATCCGATTTTGATAATTTTTGACATATGTATATGTTCAGTGTCCCTTACTAGTAAAATGATTAAATGTTCAGCTTGATTCGTCAACTGACTGCAGAAGCTGGTTCAATAATGTGTTGAGGATCCACGATTTCTTATACACTTATTGACACGCCTGGGCATCATGTTGATAAGGTGGTCGATATCCTGTTGGGGTATCTCATTCCAGGCTACTGCAACTTGTGAGTAAGAGCTGTCAAGGTCTGTGGAGGGTGTTGCAAATTCAAAAGCCTGCGACCTATCATGTCCCAGACATGTTCAATTGAAGATAGGTCAGGCGATCGTGGTGGCCAAGGTAAACGGTTGATGCGATGTTGTTCCATGAAGGCTAACGATGCTCTGACAACATGCGGTCTGGCATTGTCTTGCTGAATAATCGGGTTTTGGATGGTGTTTCGGTATGGAATACGATGAGGCTCCACTACTTCCTGAATATAGCATCAGACTATATTGCCTCTGATGAAAATAGGTGGTGATCGGCTACCACAAGCAATAGCACCCCATACCATAACTCCCACGGTGTGGTGAACGTGACGCTTTCTGTCAAATTGTGGGTCACGTCTTTCACCACGTCGTCCTCTCACTCTTGCCCGACCATCGTGCATCCTTCCCCAGTCAGAAGCGGGATTCGTTACTAAAGACCACCTGATTCTATGCCCTGTCCCGCAGAATTTTTTCTCTACACCAGAGCAAACGGTTACGCCGATGTTCAGCTGTGAGAGGTAGCACCCAATGTGGGCTACATTACTTTACAACATTCGTATATGGAACTACTACTAGAGTCGCCAATTTCAGGTACGCTTGGTTGGTGCTTGCCACCCTGTGACTTTGTTACAACTACAACGTAATAGCACTGTACAGGTACAGTCTGCGAAAACCAAAAGTTCGCCATTTTTGGCCTGAAAAACAAGGTTGACATCGCTTTAAAATAAATTAATCTGAAAATAGTCATCAAGATCTTGTAGAGTAAGGTTTTTGCTATAGTTTAGACGCTGCCGACCTCAAAAGCTATAAGTTTTAACCAAGTTTTCAAACATTGGATATAACCGCACGGTAACCCAGATCAAATTTGTTTAAACATTTTTTTTAAGTTAATTACATTTTTTACACGGACAATTTTTTTTAAGTTTTTTGGCATTTATGTTCATCATTCCAAACTGAAAAAGTTTTTGTTAACCTTTCTCTGAAGCTGACTATTTTCGAGTTATAGGCAATGTAATGACTGAAGAGCCCAAAAGTGGGTATATTTAATACTTAAAAACTCGGTTAAAAATTATAATTTTTGAGATCGCCAAGTATCTCAATTTAAGCTTAAACCTTCTTTTGCAAGACCTTGATGAGTATTTTGTTTGTTAGACCAAAGTTGGCGAACTTTTGGTTTTTGTACAACATACAAATGTATCACAAAAATATTATACTTTTTAATACAAATATTTGGTTGAGCTATTAGATTTGATATGTTTCAGTTGGTTGCAAATTTCAGTTGCATTCAATGTAAACCTGCATTAACTAGTTTGCACGAGCCACGATATTCAGTATTGCATTTCATGATTGATACTCACCTTTTTGGAGTTTCCAAAAAAAAAATTGATTAATCCATCGATCCATTCCAAAAAAGACCTGTATCTTCTTGACACAACATGGTAATTTTGTATTAGGCCCAATTTTTGTGCCAGCTTAGTTTCTGTATTATGTCGGTACACTAATTTAATAATAATAATAATAATAATCCGGCTTTATTTATACAAAGTATAAAAAGGCGAAGTTTCTGTGGGAAAACCTTTTATTCGACAACAAAGAATGAGAAAACGTGTTTTTTGGGATTCAATCGAAAGTGTTGGCAGGAACGAAAAAATTCCTTATATAAGATTTTAGGTATTTGTGAGACCTATAAAATGAGACCACACATAAATAGATCCGACTAATAGCAAAAGAGGATGGGTTACGTTTTTTCTTCTAAACAAATTCAAACATTTCGTATTTGTGAGAAATTCGAAACAGAAGATGATATTCACATCCACGTTGTTCTAAAATTTGTATAGTAACGTATGTTTTTCGAATATCGTACGCATTTGTTCAATTATTCACAAATACGAAATGTTTCAATTTGTTTAGGAGAAAAATCACATTTATTTTTCGCAATGGTTTGTAATTTATATCGGCAAGGCAAACGCGTGTATGTTGCTAATAAATTCTCTTTGAATGAGCCCTGAATATTGCTCAATAGACCAGTAGTGATGGCTGGAAAACTGTTGTTTTGGTATAAACAATTAGAAATTCTCAAAAAACTTCTTGATCAACATACTCCAATTCTGTAGTTGTTATTTGGAAGTGTGAATCCTACGGATTTGAAAAATTTCAAGCAGTTGCGTGAAATTATCGTTGCATTACCAACAAGTGCCTTTGCATTTTGCCTCGTTTTTCGGCCATAACATGTTTGCTATTAGTAGGATCTTTTTACGTGTGGTCACATTTTGTAGGTCTCATAAATACCTAAAAATATTATATAACGAGTTTTTCCGTTCCTGCTACTTTCGATTGAATTCCAAAAAACACGTTTTCTTATCCTTTGTTGTCAAATAAAAAGTTTTTCCACAAAAATTGGTGTACCCATTTTATGCGTCCATGTTTTGAATACCCCCTTGAACAACTTGCACCAATGAAACCAGACTTTACAATTATTTCGGGGGAATTTCCTAATATGATTAGACTATTAGCAGAGGTATGGAGTGCAATGGAAATTGATGGTTATCATGTCACTGCAAAGTATGTTGGGTTGGGCAAGCCGGATTAACCTGGTGTTGAGGTATTCAGCACATGTACGTGAAAGTCAGTACTTACTTCAAATTGTAAAATATAGCAAAATGCTTACGTAGGCATGGGAGGGAAGGGGGTAACGGAGTAGCTTACTTTTGTCGACAAGGGTGAAGGAGGGAGAAGCAATAGTTGTAAGAAATATGCGTACGTAATACTTGAATGGCCCCCAGCCCCAAAAAGATAAACTGTCCAAATTGTATTCTCAAACTGCTAATATCCATCAAAGAAAAGTCTTACTAATATCGACGGTAGCCTGTGAAGTCAGCTACTACAGCCTACTGTCAAACGTAAATGTTAAATCTCCCATTCCTTACGGATACATAATTCCTCAGACGGCACTTAGTCTTCAAGCATGTTGATATTAATGTCATTTTATGATAATACTTTTTTAGTTGCTACGGTCCAGGCCCAACACTGGTGGCAAATCAAAGCTGTTTTCTAGACATACGTTTGTAGCATTTAGCTACACAGTCACTATGGTGCGTAAGCGCTATTCGAGAAGTCACCGGAATACACCTGCATCAGAATATATAACAAACTTTCAGCTAACCTCAGGCAAGTCAGTAGTATTGCTTGTTATAAATATCAAGTACGAAAATTATTAGTTGAAAAATGTTTCTACTCTTTGTCTGAATACCTCGCACTGTGATATATTTTTAAAACTTTTTTTTATATGTAGTACGCCTTAAGTTGTTCCTGTTTGTACTTTGTAAATACTTATGTTTGTTTTGTTTTTACTTTTAATTAAGTGTACTTTGTACCTCCCCCTTAGAACGAGTTTTATGTCATTTTGTGATCTACAAGACAATAAATATACGTATCTATCTATCTATCTAATAGCCGGTAGACATCCAGATATATCATTACACATTTTTTAAAGAGGCACTATTCAAAGTCACAGACGTGTTGGTTCAGCTTAACCCGCTCAACTTAAAAAATGGAGGTGTAGTGGAATGTGCTTATTGCTACTGGTGTCATATTACTCTGTAATAAATAAAACGCTTAAATAGAATTCCTTGTCAGTATATCAGATTTTAAAGAGTGGATAAAAGTGTCTGAATAGCCTGTGTCTAGCTGGCTAGACGAACTATTCTACTCCAAAATCCGGGATTTTCTGCAGCCGTCCGGCAGCCTTATTATTTCGTCGTAATATGGCTTATCTAAATATCTCCGGCAGCAGCGCCGGAGTTTATTTTAATGGCATACTGTTAAACTGCGTAGCACTATTATTGCGCACACCAGGCCATAGACAATAGCACATAAAAACAATTTATTGCCGCAACCCGAACTATGCTGGGGTTAGGTATCAAAATTCTCTGGAAAAACCCAATGCTAGACAACAAAAAAGCGTGAAACAACATAGCCGCAGCTACTATTTGCCTGATGAGGCTTTTGTTAAATCAACACACATTGTTAGGAGATGGGAACCATATTGGGCGATTTTGTTTGGCATAGAACTCGTATGAGGACTACAGTCTGAAATACCGGGTGAGTTTTTAGTGTATAATCGGTTTAAAACTCCTTTATTATGAAGGATGTATAAGAAACTGAAAATCATAGGCAAATATACGCTCCTTAGTTGGCACATATGGCACTATCTGTAGGTTGGTCCATAACAACATGGCAACACATACATTTTTTAAATGGAGTGCTCTGTAATATCTTACTATATTCTGAAAGGACTTAAGAATAAGTTTGTCATAACGTTACGTAGGTTTTTGATCGCTACTTCTTGGGCTAAGAGATATTTTATCCGAAAAAAATACTGAACTTTGGCAACTTGTAAGTCAATCACTTTTGCAGGTACAGCAGCACAGTTTGCTTCAAACTGAGCTTCAAGCCCTATAGTTCCTTGTCATTCAAACGCTTTCTTAATTTATTCTTATGTATCATCTATACAGGTATAGCTATCTCAAAAAATTCGAATTGAATACCCTGCAGCTTTGGTTTATCCTTTTTTACGCTTTATTTTGCTATGCAATTCTTGAGGCGTTGAATTAATGAATATTTGAGTTGTTTACACTTTTCCAGAAATTACTGTATAAAATAAATACAATATGATCGGTGGCAAAGGATGTTTTTCAGTGAATGGGTACAGCCCTTCATTGAAATTACACCAAAAATCCTCCTTTTCCATGAATAATATGATATTTATTTATTTTTGTTATACTAGAACAAGGCTTATAATAGTAATAATCAAAAACCGTGGAATAAACAAGGCGTTCCATTTGAATTTTTTGAGAAATAGTAGATTATGCGTTATATATATATATATATACAAAGAGAGAATGGTCTTAGGGAGAAAGGTACACTCGTATACCAAAAAATAGGAAAATAATAAATCCGAAAAAAGTATTAAAGTGGATTCGAGCAGAAGATAGGTAACCCGATAAATACATATTTCTGCTTGTTGACTTCATCAGGTCCGAAATGAATGCACATATGCAACCAGAAAAGTAGATACACATGCCCATACCAATACACCCGGATACGGGTGTAACCTGAGGAAACGCAGATGGAGAGGGGAAACAATGACACACGAAGTCCACAACAAGAGCCAACCTACACATTGTAGTATAAAATGGCTAGAAGACCTGCAATTTTCAAGGCGACATATAACCACAACCACGCGGCCGGTTATAGCCACTTGCTGTGGTACTTCAATCCCAAAGGATCTACAGAAATAAAACGATCATGCGGAGTAAGGTATACCTATAACAAAAATTAGAAAAATAATGGCCTAAATCCGCAAAGAGAAGGAAAGTGGATTCGAGCAGAAAATAGGATAGGTAACCCGAGCAATACGTATTTCTGCATGTTGGCTTCATCAGGCCCTAAACGAATGCAAATAGCCACTTACTGTGGTACTTCAAGCCCAAAGGATCTACAAAGAGAAATTGATCATGCGGAGAAAGGTATATAACAAAAAATAGAAAAATAATAGTCAACATACGCAAAAAGAATGACATAAATAATTAACAATCTATTGGCAGACATTTAACTGTGACTGGTCAATATGGCAGCACAAAAAAAGAAAAAAAATGTAATTACGTAGGTATATGTTGTAGGCATATTTCAATAACAATCAGTTTGGACGTGTAGAGTGATTACATAATCCAATAAGCCAAACAACTGTTAACAAACAGAAAAACAAATAAAATTCCCGCCGTTTCTGCCCACACACTCGTAAAAATTCTCTCATAACAAAAACCTTTGCCAAGGTAAACTTCTGTAGCCAGCAGCTGCGCATAATTTGTTCAGTGATTTGCTCCCGCGTTATTGGATACCAGACATTATTCTCCTGATGAGATGCGGTGAAACAAATGTTGACGTGAAATCGTCGCCTCGTCGTCATTTGTTTCACAGATCACTAGATCGATTTGTGCGGTTAGCTGACTTTCACCGAGTCATTACGATTTGGTTAAGCGTGTAAAGGTTTGGCTTTATGGCAATGTTGCATGGTTAAGTCAGAATGTTTTGCAGTTGCATTGTAACTGACAATATCTTAATATCCATCCTTCTTTGAGCGCAATTCTAGCTTTTGTCCAAACAACTAAAGTCGAAGTTTCGTTCTGTAGTCAAATGCGACATTTTGGGATCAAGTCGTAAAATAATCTATACGATCTATACTTTTGAGACTCTTTTTCCACAAATAAAAACTCACTACTACTATTATCGTTATCTACTTGGAATAAGGATTATCAGAAAACGGTCTCCATATCTCAGGAGCTGTCCATACCTGATATACCTCGGATGTACCGACCAGCCTTCTTCTATGATGCGTAGGTGAATTCCTCGCACTGCTAATGAGCCTCTGGCTTAGATATTAGAATTTTTGAGCCCTACAGAAAAAAATCGAAAATAATTTGAGGCCATTGACTTTTTTTGGAACATCTTCTGCATTTTTGTAAGGGAGAAGTTTTAAAAGAAACAACAGGATCTATACACCTTGGGAAAAACCATTATTATACATTATGATGAGGAAGAGAGATGGAAATATACAAAAGTATGTAGGTGCGTGAAAGACACTCGATTGTAGGATCCTATCTGGCAGCGTCGGAGTGTGACGGACGACGGGGTAAAGTAGAAGAGTGATAAAAGAGAGAGATGGCAGAACGGGCGCTGGCGCCTACCGCTTAGACGGATGCGCTCAACAAATGCGATTTGTTTCTCCCATTCGCAGAGTTGCCGATACCAATATGTCATATTTCTAAGAAATCTAAGTCTACCCAAATTTCGGGAAAAATAGCTGCGGATTCCACATAAGAGTATTCCAAAAATGAAAAAAGTTCAAACTATTAAAATTGTATTAATGTTTCATGGTTCAAATCATATTTTTCATGTTTGTATATTGTTGTATAAATGATTTTGTAATCCCTATTCTTGTTGCCAGTAGAGATACTACTGTATTGAGAGAAATCATGGACCGCTAGATAGGGCTACAACTACCTACTACTACCTAACTATCGAATAGTAGTGATAAACAGGGTTTGTTTATAGCACAGTTGCCTGGTGTGGCGAATTTGCGCCATAGGGGCGATTTGACAACTTTGAAGAACAACTATAACGGTTACTATGGTGCCCGGTATTCGGGAATCTGGCAATACCTGATGATTCCTAACGTTTATTACGCCAGATTGTTTGCTGACTTGCGCAGTACAACATGACAATCAACGTGACTGAGCACCTGGTAACCCTGGTTTAAGGTGTTATATTTAAAGAGCTTGGGGCAGTTAGGTATATAGGTCACATTTTTTAATGTATTTCGAGAAATCCGTAATGTTGAGTAAATACTAGATCACGTTTCTTGCTTAGTTTGCTGAAAATTCTACAATAGACGTACATTTTGAGAAACAGAGATTTGGTGACGACAAAATCGTAAAAATATAACGCATTTTCGTAAAATAATTTCTTTGTTGAAAAGACTGTGGCTTGATGACCCATTGAACGAGTATGGTGTCCCGCTCCGCTTTGAATATTCGAAACACTATACTCCAGCAGCATTCAGCTTCAATGTTATCTTTATGAAGTTCTAACGTCTAGGCCATGCTGATTAAAAGCTTGAATGAATCAACACTTAACTCTAAATTCCCCACAATTCGGGAAGCTCTACTCAAATTGGCAACACAGCGTATCTGCCTATTATTCTCATTCGTGATACAGGTCTACGGTTAACGCTAGGAAATATGTACGAATAGCGATGAAAGTAGACGAGCCGATGCGCTGTTGCCAAGAAATGATTTCCCATGTATAACAATGGTTTTTCCTAAGGTGTATACTTTGAAGGTTGTATGTATTGCAGTAGAACTGACTCACCATAGCGCGATTCGAACAGTATCCATTTTTTGTCCTTATTCAGTTTCATTATTAGCGTAGAAATGCACCACATACTGTATATTGATAATGATACATTTCAAAACTAATGTTTATGGGAACCTTTTTTGCTATTTTTGGATGTACCTTCTATCTTACAAATATTGCCAGGTTTTTTGAATCACCCTGTATGACTAATAAAACAAACTATTACATTAATGATATCGTTACGTTAATACCTTGCTGTCACGAACTCTCAGTGGAATGGAGGAGATACAAGAATTAGAATCTGATACTGGGAAAAAGGCAGCTCTGAATAACCTGGACTCTGTAGTCGACGCTGTCGATAGAAAAGCTTCAAGTTTGCAAAGAACCTGTAAATGGGCTGGATTTAAGCTGGTAAGTTCAAACGCAGTAAACTTTTTTATACTGCTTGGAGATACCTATAATTCATTCACCGAATAGCTTAGAATGGATGTGTGATACTGTGTGGTATGCTATACTTTACCTTTTGCATTAGGAGCATCATGGTTTTGAGCTTCAGTATATGATAAATTTTGAAAACCCAAAGCGAAACGAATTCCACTTTCATCTTTATTGAGGATAATGGAGCGTCACTATGTTTTAAAAACTAAAAGCATGTCATTATAGCAGTCAAAACAGTAGGTTAAAGAGTTTTCTGTTAAAAGATATAATTTCCACATGCTATATATTTATTATTTACGCGGGTAAATTCAAACGCGGTATACTTTTTTATACCTCTTGGATAGACAGATAATTTGTTCACTTAATAACTTGACCTAAAAGTGTGATACTGTATGTGCTTTAGTTGTTTACGGATACGTATTAAAGATTTGATCTTTTGCATTTCACTGATACCTTCATTATGGATAATGGAGCATCTTTACATTCTAAAAACTAAAAGCCTGTCATTAGCAGTCAAAACATGGAATTAAAAAATTTGCCATTAGCCGTCAAAACATCGAATTAGAAAGTTTTATCTTGAATGCTTAAGATTCTATTTCCATATGCTACATTACATGCCTATTATTCCAATCGCATATTTACTCATCGTTATGTTCGGTGATATTCGGAAAAATATTGTCTAGTAATAGACCCACGTTGTTGAAATTGAACAACACTGCATGTGAATGATCATATTATTCTAAAAAAAGAAGTATTTTTTGAATCAATTAGCAAACTGAAATGCGAGATGAACGAATATTAAAGATATTAATTTTTTCTGGGCGCGATCTTGGAATATTTTTTCGAATACATTGTGGGGTCATATGATGCTCTTTTTGAGTACTTTAAAACCACAAAACGTGAAAACAGTGTCTTTAAACTAGAGTGGCAAGTTCTCAAGGTTGAGCGTCTTTGTTCACTGAATCACTAATAACTCAACAACATTAGAATGTTATTACCAATCTTCTTGTACTGAGAAAATTGGTCCGGATATGTAATAAATTATGTCCATTAAAAGAAATTTGGAAAAAATTCAACTTACCAACTAAATATCCCGTACTTCATTTAGATAGGCCTTTCCAAAAGAGGATTGATATAACAACGTTTTGATGATAAGTTGTTGCTCGCCCAACTTTTAAAGTCCGCTAGTTCGCACGTTTTGGAAGATAGTAAATTTACATCTTAAGATTACAAATCACCTATATAGAGCTTTAAAATGATGTACATGACCCGCCATTGAATTGTATTTAAAAAAAAGCTCTAAGATGGTACCCAGCCTATATTTTACATCCAACTGTAATATTTCAGCCTGCTAACTTGATCCGTTCAAAAAACAAGCAAGAACGGCCTTTTTCAAAAGCATTGTTTATTATGTCTACTAGCCTAAGAGATCAGATCATTGGAACGTGTTTTTGTCATATGACGTGACATTCTCCCAGGTGAATGTAACACGAAATGTATTAACTGTGGTCCGTGTCATCAGTATTTACTGATCACTCCGTCAGTGATAATGGATTTATACGTAACCTTATACATGAATAATTACCAATATAATTAGATGATAATTACTGACAGATTACAATAAATACTGCTCGTTTGTATTCGCTTCAGGATCCAAAACTTACATTATCGGTTTATGACTACAGTAGTACTCCACGTTTGGTCTTGAGTGCAATGGAAGCTCTGCTGGATCACCCACTGTTGCATCTAGTGATCCGCGGAGAGGCGAGAGTCGTCTAACATTGACTGTGTAGTAAGGGCAGCTGGACCTTTTTAATCCTGTCAAGGGATACACAGCCATCTCAGTCGATCTGCAAAGGGAGGATCCTTCTGAACAGGGATGATCTGATCACCCATAAATATCACTTTAACCGCAAGTTTAAAGTGAAGTATCCAACGACGGATTGGGACTTCGAAACTCGGAAGGTCTCTGAAGGGAGTGGACAGGTCTGGTACATGGACGGCTCGGACTCTGAAGAGGGCTCTGACGTCGGAGTCTTTGGGCCTAGAACTAGGCACTGCATACAAGATCACTTCGAGCCTTGTCTTGCAATGCAGGGAGGCTCCGATATCGTTAGTGTAGAAACCGGAGGCACGCTGGGATAAAGGGCATGGATATGACGGACTCTCTTACGCAAGCAGGATCAGCGAACAAGCTCGTTGGTCGTGAGCCAGCGTTAGGGGCGCAAGAGCCAGGAGAAGTCAACTGCAACGCAATACCCTCAGAAATGGAGAAGCATATCGAGACATCTCCATCAGGCAAAATAGCTCATTGTAAGGCCCAGTGTTGAAGATGGACGCTTTTGCTTATCTTTGGATTGTGCCAATCTCAGGTTATTGGTGGGACTTTTGTTTGGCCATAACACGTTCATGTTATTGGGGTAGCTGAGGATCCATGTGTGAGCGCTGCGGGGTAGAGAAAGAGTCCTCGGCGCATGTTCTGCGTCGCTGTGAGGCTCTGAGCTGCTACAGGCAGACTATACTTTGGATCCCCAGAATGTTGAGGAGCTGGGACTCAAGGTTATACTCAACTTTGCTAGAAGAACGGGGCTTGAAGCTTAGGGAATGTAGCGGTGCATAAGTGCCCGTTTAAGCGGGCTCTTGCCGGCTCCCCCACTAATTTTTCACATTAGACTTTACCACCTGTAAAGATGTTCCAATTACTTTTTTGGAATATGCATTGGTATAATCTTGTTCCATTCATACAATACCATAGATAAAACCTAAAGGTAGAGTTTCATGTGTGTATGATCAGCTTTAGAGGCACATAATGTACCCTTCAGCTATTACCGCAACAGTTCGTGTTCAGAAACATAATAACATAGGAAGTTAATCAAACGTGGGTGGTGGTCAGCGGTAAATATAGAGACATATTTATCTCAATATGCGTGTTTCCGCAGTTTCGTGCATCAGTCCCCTTGTAATGGGAATACGTCCAGTGATTCTAGACAAGTCGTGTTTTTTACACACGTGTTTCACCTCTATGAGGTTAATACTTGGTTTCGCAGAAACTTTCACGCGTAGGTTTGAAAAAATTCATGAAATGTTGGATAAGGCCCTCTGGTATCCACACCATTGAACAACCCTTTTTGATTAGAAACAAATGTTAAGATGGAAGTAACGAATTCTGTATCTGTACATTTTATTATTTTGCATATCCTGTTTTTTTATATATCCTTAGTTCGGCTCTGTCATTTCTTTCTCAAACAATATAGCGAAGCAAATTGGCAAAAGTGCCACTGAGAATAGAACGGCTGTATCTTCCAAGAGCAAAAGGTGGTAGAGGAATAATAGACATTAAGAAACTGCGTAACAAACAAATAGATACGCTTACCAAATATTTCTATTCAAAAAAAGTCCCCTTCATGTGGCAGTGATTCAAGCTGATAAAAACTATACACCACTCAATCTCCATGCAGACATAGCCTATACTGAAACAGAAAATCAAGAAGACCTGAGACCTAAGGCACTTCATTTCAGACATGTGAATATAGTACGAGATGAAAGCATAAACATAATAGCAACATATGATTGGCTGAAGAAAGGTCTTATATGTCCTGAGATAGAAGGGTTTGCGCTTGCTATCCAGGACCAACTTATAAACACACGGAACTACAAGAAGTGCATACTGAGAGATCCCACACTTCAAACCGATAAATGCCGAAAATGTAACATGTTTTCAGAGAGCATAGACCACATCACATCTATATGTAAACTTCTAGCTGCCCAGGAATACACAGTGAGACATAAAAATGTAGGAAAATTAATACACAAGGCGCTCGCGAACAAACATGGGCTGATATCCTGTAAAGACCCATAGGGTAGGGTGCCCTAACTTTGCGCAGGAGGTAAGATTGCGCAGCTCCCATATTTCGAAAGCAAAATGACATTGTCGACTAACTTCTCTCGTGTTCTGGGCCGTTGCTGTGAGTGAGTGCGCTGTAGAAAAAACAAACCAAAAACCTATCAAAACCTAGTCGCAAGGTAAGTTTGAAGTTAAATATCGATTCTGATGTAATTGTTTCTCAATTTCAAACTGTAATTACATGAAAGCCTGAAGTACTATCAAAGATTTGACCAGTGTTTTCGTTTGCGTGATTTAACCTATACAGCCGGCGAACGATATAATTTTTGATATTTTCAATAGATGGCGTTAGGAGTCACATAATTGTATATTGGGCTATTCCCTAAGACTGCGCAGAGTCACGGTCCGTAACACTACGCGCGCAGACTTACCCTACCATAACTTTTAATTTGATATAACAACCTTAAATATTCATTTTCAGAATGCCTAATCAAAGAAAAAAGTCGTCGGAACGTTCGCTGTGCCCTCAATATGTTTTAGAGGAAGCTAGAAGACGAATAGAAAATGGTGAAAGCAAAAGAAAAGTAGCATCGTCGTACGGAATGAAAGAAAGTACTTTGCGGTATCGCCTGAAGAGAAAAGGAGCTGCAACAAAGCTTGGTAGATATGATGCAACTCTTTCTCCCGAAATTGAACAGGAATTTTGTAATTATTTGGAAGATCTTGACAATATGTTTCAAGGGATGACTCCTAAGAATTTGAGGATTGCTGCTTACGAGTTTGTGGTGAAAAATAATATTCCTCATCGTTTCAATGCCGAAAAGAAAATGGCAGGCAAACACTGGCTTCGTGGATTTCTCAGTCGGCACCCAGATCTTTCACTAAGACGTCCAACTTCCACAAGTATTGCTAGAGCGATGGGATTTAATAAGCCACAATGTGAAAGGTTCTACAAAAATCTAGCAGAATTGATGGACAAGTATAAGTTTCCTCCAACTTCCATTTATAATATGGATGAAACTGGTCTGTCTACCGTACCCAACAATCCTCCAAGGGTCATATCAAAAAAAGGAAAGCGCGCTGTTAATAAGATTTCTAGCGCTGAAAGAGGAACGAACGTAACCGTAGTAAATGCTATGAGTGCATCTGGACACTTCATTCCTCCCGCTTTCATATTCGGTCGCAAAAGGATGAAAGCAGAATTGCTGGATGGCGCACCACCAGCGTCTATTGGAATGGTCTCAGACACAAGTTATATTAATAGTGAACTTTTTTTAAACTGGCTAGGTCACTTTAAAGATCACACAAGACCAACTAAAGAACACCCTATCCTTCTGGTTCTTGACAATCATGTGTCGCATTGTACAATAGGGGCTGTATGTAGACTTTTATCGAGCGAATAACATAATAGCTCTAACCATACCTCCACACAGCAGCCACAAGATGCAACCACTAGACAAAGGTTTTCATAGTGCGTTGAAGACTTATTTTGCGAGCGAATGTGAAAAATGGATGAGAAACCACCCTGGCAGAGCTATAACTGCTTTTCAGATGACGTCTTTATTCACTCCAGCGTTTAATAAAGCAGCTACAGTTGGTTGTGCTGCTGAATGTTACAAGGTGTCCGGAATCTACCCATACAATCCAGATATCTTCACAGATGCAGATTTTCTTCCTAGTGCTGTGACCGAAAGAGAAATGGATGATAACCAATGTTCAGAATCACAACAGGAGAATCCTCAAGAAGCAACACCCCATGAACAGAGAGAACCAGTTATGGATAATGAGCCTCGTGCTTCTGTTTTCAACAAGGAGCCAAAAAAACCATCAACTCCGAGGAACGCTTTTACAGCAATTGAGAATGTTTCTCTAGTAACAGAAGCTCCAGCCGAACCAGTTGTGAGTTCTGAGTCAGGGCAAAAGAAAAACTTCGACGGTACTCCAGCTGAAAAAAATGGTGGTATCTTCCAAGTTCCTGCACAGGTACCATCTTGCAGCAATGAATCGGCCGCAATCAAAGTGAAACTCCAAGATATTTGCCCTATACCAAAATCAGGTATAAGAAAGACCGCAAACAAGCGAAAACATAAGAAAACTGAAATACTTAGTGGTTCTTCATATAAAGAACAGCTATTAGTAGAGAATCAGTTGAAGAAAACTCCTGAGAAAAAAATGAAAAAAGTTTGCAGAAAGCCTTCTAAATATCCTAAAAAAAAGAAATGGGCATGCGGTGGCTGCAATGAGGAGTATAAAGAGCCGATTACAGAGGATTGGATCGGTTGTTCTGTTTATTCTGAATGGTGGCATGAGAAATGTACGGCCTACGTAGGCATTGTACAGTTTAAGTGCGATTATGCGCTTAAGATACCTTATTCTGTTTTAGTTCCTACTTTTAAGTTTTTGTTATCTATGCGCAATCTTAACGATCTGAATGCGCAATATCCAGGGACCCGTAGTGGTAAGACTGCGCATTTACAAAATTGTTATCAGATGTTTGAATAAAACTTAAATTAACAAAGTACATTAATGTGAGCCTAAATAGAAATTAAGATTATTACCATAGGTTATTGATTCACGATTCTACGGCTTATCAAACCTTAAGTGCGCAGACTTGGGGCACCCTACCCTACTATAAATACACACCGGATACTGTGACGGAAAACGCAACACACAAAGTATACTGGGACAACCCTATCCTTACAGACAAGACAATTGTTGCTAATCGACCAGATATAACTGTAATCGACAAAATAAAGCATGATGATGTGGCAGTACTAAGCGATCACAACACAAAAACAAAATATGATGAGAAGATCGAAAAATATATTCCCCTTGCACAAGAGATCAAAAGACTATGGAAACAAAATAAGGTGGAGATAATACCGATGATAATGTCAGTGACAGGTATCACACCACAGTCCTTTAAAAACAACCTAGAACTGCTTGAATTGAATCCGCAGATACATTCCCAAATACAGAAATCAGTTATACTCGGCACCACAACCATCGTAAGAGAATTTTTACAATAGAATTAGTTATATGAACTTGGTTTATCCCGTTCATGTATCATGTTTACTAGATTAAAGTCTGTGCAAAACATCCGAACAAAAAAATAATAATTATAATTGTCTTTATTAGTTTAACCAAAACCCGGACTTCACATTGCGTACTCTTCAAGTCAACCTTACAAAGAAACAAACAATTATGTACAATTAAAATAGTGAATAAGTTGAATGGTCTCATCTAATGATAAAAATGGAATATATAAGTTATGACATTTCATTCTTGCGGTTTTTTTAGAATAAAAGATTTACGTGGCGGATTGTGCAAAGTGGATAGTCTCCTCCTCATCATATTCCACACATGTTCGATGGGATTTTAATCCGGTGAACAGAGTTGCCACGGCAAAACATTAACGCCTGCTTCTTGAAGAAAGTATGACGACCAGTATGGTAACGTGCATTGTCTTGCTGAAAAAGGACGTGTGGACGGCCCTCTAGGTACGGGGTAAAGTGGTTTGTAGCACATCATCAACATAACACACAGCAGTCATATTGCATTGAAGAAAGAGAAGGGGTAATCGGCTAGCATAGGCAATAGCCCCCTAAATCATTACTCCAACAGTTCAGTGTACATGCCTCTCAACAGCAAGTCCAATATCACGCCGTTCTCCACGGCGGCATCTTACCCTTCTAAGACCATCGTGCGTAACTGAACGTCGCTGAAGATGACATTATGCCATTCTACCTCTCAATGTTGCCGTTATCTGCTCCAGTTCAAACGTTGACGACAGTGGACCGCAGTCAGGGGAAGTACTAACTGTGGACGGTATGAAAAAAGTCCAAATGCTCGAATGCGGTGATAAAGTGTACGCATAGTAACAGATCTAACCCGTAGTAGCAAAACGGTCTTGTAGGGCTAGTTGTGCGAAGCGTCTACCTATGCTCTGAGGTACGCCTAGGTGGACCAGTTGGCATTCTTCGTGTTTCTCCACCTTCTTCTATCCATACACGACATACCCGCATTACCGTCATTGCAGTACAATTAACACGGCGGCCAATTTTGCGATGGGACAAACCAACATCTCGATAGGCAACAATTCTACCCCTGTCAAAGTCGCTAACATAGTAATAATTTGGACGTCTCCGAACTCGACGCATTTTATGCTTAACCCTTAACTACCATGGCCAAAAACAGTAACATTTATACCATGGCAGGGTCAAATTTGACCCCATTGTTTTTTTCACAAAAAAATTCTAATTTTGTACATTGTTTTTATGTTGTTATTTTCTTTTCAGCTAGTTTTACAATTTCATAAAATAAAACGAATATCGTTAGTTAAAACCTTATTAAAAAAAACTTCAGTATCCACTGCAATTAACAAAGATGTGCACTTTCGAAAATTATAAGAAAAGTTATAAAAATTTTCAGTTTTCTTGTATTCAGTGGTGAATTTTAGGTATCATAGCTACTACCTAAAATAAAAAAAAATGATTTAGATTTCGTATCTAAAAAATGACAAGCATGATTTTTGACCTTACTTTTCAACACAACTTATGCATAACGTCTTCGTGCCAGCATGATTTTTGCAAATAAATTCTCGACATTTATCCCACTATGAGCTTTCTTTCTTTTGATTTTTAGAATATATCTTACACCTTCCCCTCCACTGCTTCCTGAAGTCCGGAAGCTTTAAAAATGACACTACGACGTTCTCTCGGTAAGCATGCTGAGCTATACGAGTCAAATGGTCCTTAATAAGTTCTTGACCTAAAGTGGTTAGAAATAATTTTTTTCGCCTCTGCTTCAAGTTCTTTCTGTGTCAGAGCGCGTGTATTGCCACTACACCCCTCCATTTCAAATTACTCGCTATTCGCACTAGAAACACTTATACCATAAATTTGACCCTACATGTACCTAACTCTGCACTGGTAACAGATGAATTAATGGAATCTTTGTGGATCGATAAATCACCAACCGGTCGAACATTAGCAAAACGCGCGCAGCGCGCCATAAATGTTTTGGTAGCGAAACTTGGCATACAAAATGTGGAGGGTCAAATTTGACCCCGCCATGGTACTTAAGGGTTAACACTACTAAACAAAGATAAGATGTTGACGTTGTTGCCACACCATGCTTCAAATATAGTCATTATGTTGCTAAAAAAAACACGTTGATGAAATTATTATTTCAAGGTGTAATACTTCTAATTATACACATAACACACTATTGTCTAATAGCCCACCGTGCCGCCAATTATTTTTCATCGATCTTCAACAGTGTGTATATTGCAAAGTATTTCCGAAAACTTGCTTTACTGCAGATTCATTCACAATATTGAATCTTATTGCACGCCGCGCGAATTTTTGAGCAGGCCATATACCTTGTTCCGTGCACATTATCCTCATTAATTGTAAATACCAGTATATCATTTCCAGTCTAGATTTACTTGTAGGATTCTATTCTGAACTAGAGAAATTTCAGAAATTGATGAGTATTTTTTGAGAAAGCTAGAAATAGCTTATCACAGAGGTAGTTTGCTATGATGAACAAATAAAATTTTGCTTACAGAAGTTGAAAAATATATCAAGCATATTGATGTGAAACCGGAGATACTCTTATTCTTCCTCATGCAACATTTAGGTGGTAACCAATTTTTATAAAATAATTTCAATTCAATAATAACTATTTTTACAACAAAATTGATCTAATTCACAAATTTTGTTACAGGACTGCATTGTCTAGCAGTTTTTCAGATACAGTATTATACGCAAATATTGTAGCTTCTGCCAGCACTTGAGAAGAAGCATTTTACAAGAAGAATAAAACTCAATTTTCATAATTAGTCTTTACTCACTCGGCACAATCCAAAAACTACCAAAAAGAGATTCAGCGCGCCAAAAAAACATGAGTATTTTTGCCACTCCTGGCCCGCTGTGAGGCAGCCCTCAGGCCCTCTAACCCTAGGCAGTCTTCTGGTTTATCCACATGGTACAACCAGTCCTGTTTCGATCTCTTTGTAGTAATTTCACTCTGTAGTCTGATACTAAGTCAGCTTGAATAATGTCGAAAGTGCATTCATTTTCAGAGATTTACTTAAAATAGATGAATGAATGCGGTGTATTCGTACAATTTCCGCTTAGCATTGTCAGTTTGATACTGCCTAGAAGCCACAGATATCAGCCGGTATCGGTAGAAGGCCAAACATGCGTATGTATCGAGCTCTTCATTTTAACGGAATGCTGGTAGCAGATGCGCTTGAAATCCTGTTTGATTAAATATTTCTGTTTATTTCAGGTAAGTGCCTAGCTGGTACATATTAAAAGTGGAGGGCTGGTGGTAAGTATACATCATTTTCAACTGTACTAGACTCAGATCGTATGATCAAGACGATCCTGCTTTA